GCTTATTTCAACTTGCGAATGCGGGTTGGGAACAGAGTCCTGCACCTGTTGCAGGAACGGCCTAAGACAACTCGGACGGCATGCAGTTGGTCTGCTTGCCGCTCGACTTCCTCACCAAGATGTGGGGACCTCCCATGTCTTGAAATGAAACTTGGGGCTGCTCCAGTAATGTGTTCGATACGCTGCATCGGCCGTGCAGCGGGTGGATGGCCTGCCGGACTATTTCAGAAAACATCTGAGAACTCTTCCTATAATGGTGCCCACTTCTGCTATTCTCCAAGCCGTGACTTGGTCGAATTCCACAAAAGCTGCGGTATTCGGGAGAGTCTCACCACGGAGCGCATGCATTTCTCCGCTGTCTTCAATTGTGACTTGGCAATGCATGCGAATCCCTTGTGTCCTTTCTCCTTGGGACTCCGCCTCCTCTTCTATGACCGTAAAATATGCAAATGCTGTTGGAGACGTTGAGATTTGCGCTCTTCTCTCGCTTCTCAGCAGACACATGTCAGTGATGCTATCAAGGGAGCCCATCTCCATCCACCACTATGTTGACCAAGGCACGCTTAGGATTCTCTCATGATGAACCGATCAAACTTAAAATCCCCTTCTTACGGTAAGACGAGCCCTTATAGAATTAATATCTCATATACACTCACAATCTTGCTTTTTGGCGTGTACAACCCGCCATTGGCAAAGTGCATCCGCAGAGACTGTGCCAGTGAATAGACCACAAAACTGGACCTTGTCGCCGTACTCTCAGATATTTGACCGACTCGCAGCCTCTGTTGGGTAGCGCCAGCAACACCTAACCATGTATACGAATTTATCTTAACACAGAGTTAGTTCAATGAGGATCTGCAAATTGCAGCTGTCGCGCCCTGGCCTCAAGACTGTTTACCAAGCTGTGAGGAGCGGTGTTTTCCTTAAGACATTTATTAGACGCTTGCTTCTCCAGCTCCTCCCCTCCTCTCGTTCGTCTGCAGTCTCCAAACTTGTGACCTCGCTCACTGCAAAAGAAGCAGGTGAGCCGCTCCACAAATCCTCTCAGCCTTCTGAGTACCGAGTTACGCGGGTGATTTTAGACGGTGCGTTGGATCACTTGCTGTGTGGTACTGGAATTCCCACTGCCAAAATCCACAGGCCCAATATGATGACTTCCAACCCCGCTCCCTGCCTTTCCTACTGCGTCGGTAGACGTGGCAGTTTCTCCAACAGTTGATGGAATACTTACGTATCCAAGAGAGAAAAACTGCCACATCTACTGACAGAGCAGGGAGTGCAGGGAACGAGTTAGGATCACTCATTTCACCTCGTAGTTTCCTGTCTGTCTTGCCTAGCCCGCTACCGATTGTCTTTCGTCCTGTGGCAGCCCTGCCATGAACCATTAATACGAAAGCTCCGATTCCACCGTTGGACTCCTGTTCTTCAGCGGTCGCTACTTGTCTATATGGTACCTTATCGGCAGGTTCCCTTGCTGATGCTTCCTCAACTCGGCCGTGGCCTGCTCCCGTGTTGACCTAGCAATAAGCCTATAACACAGTGCAAACGGCAAAGTTCATACGGGCCAAATGTGCTGTGGAAGGGCAAGAACCTGGCACATACAGACACCATTAACGCGCCTCCCGTTCTAATAATGAACATGTAAATGGCAGCAATGCCTCTTCGGTTGATTGCTTGAGGCGAAAATAAAACTCTAGGGAGGCAAGAAGATCCTTTACTGCCCCGCATACCAGCCATCGTCATTACTGGATGACCTGCAGAGGTGGAGGCATTCTCCTTTACTGCCCCGCATACCAGCCATCGTCATTACTGGATGACCTGCAGAGGTGGAGGCATTCTCCATGAACTAGTTCTGCTGCAATAATATTCTCCCCTGGGATGCAGATATTGAGCTCAATAGAACTTTTTGAACCTCCCAGCGGTTGGACCCCTACACACCAGAGAACATATCCTGGCCAGTCTTCATTCTGCAAGAGAACTAAAATGCTGAGATTTGACAATGTCTGTTGAGAGTTCATGGTAGTGTACTATTAAGCACCTACGGTACTACACACGGCTGCGCAACGGATCAGCCTGCTGTGGCCGTGGGGTTCGTCGTTAGCGCATGCACACCGCAAACCATGGCTTGCTGCCCAGTGTAACGCGGGTTCTGTATTTTATCCGAGGAGTATTCTGATTTGCAGTGGAGCCAAAATACTGAAGATGAAAGTTCCTTAAGTGCAACTGGCCTCCTTCCTTATTCTCCAGGCGTCATGAACTCGGCGGCTCACATCGCTAGAGCTGTGGGAGACGAGGCGGCCTGCCGTGGGTTGCAACTCAACTTGCTGCAATTGAACATATAGGCAGGGCCCACGCAAGCACAAACAGGCCTTCATGGCCGTTCGTTCAACCACTGTAAACGCCTGTTCGATACTTCTGCTTGTGTATGGTTTGTCTAGTATGATCGGGTAGGGGTTCATGCGGCAACTCAAAATTGCTAGCATGCGACAGTACACTACGTAGAAGAACAAACCGGCCTTATCGGGCAGTTAGTACAGGCTCTGTTGACAGTTGTTAAAAGCCCCTGCTTTTGTACCGTTTTTGCACTAGGGCCGGGTGGGGCTACACGTGCGCAGTTTTAATATGCTGACGGACATCGACTAGACGGTTCTACCGCAGCTGCAGTTCTTTATTGTAGATAGTCATCCAGCCCCGTCAGGGTGCCACAGAAGACAATGGGGACGACAGTTTTTGTATAATTTATCAAGGTAAAATCCTCAGAATTTTTTTACTGTTTAACTAGGGGTTGGAAGCTGATCACATCGGTGGGGCTGCCGGTGGCGCATGCAGGCGCTCCGGATGCCAGGTGCCTCTCCCCACGCCTGCGCTCTGATCCACTACAGTACATTTAACTCTTCAAAGTTACTGTTTTGTTTCCACTTTCAAGGGAAATTTTGGCTGTGATTGAGAAAACAATCCATGGGGAGTAGGACGTATCCACTTCGTCCACTATAACTCGGCGTTTAGTGGGTGTGGTGGAAGTGTCAACTGTTTGGTATGCGCCTTGTTAATGTGTGTTATTTTCGATGCTCCATTGTAGATCATATTGCTCCTGCTGACTTGTTCGTATTTATGTCCGTGTGCGTCGACGTGACCCTGGAATATTTTGAAGTGAACGTCGGGTACTTGTAAGGTGGCAAAGCGTCTGGTATTCAGCCGCCTTGTCCCTACCCAAGTCCCCGTAGTAATCCTTCATATATTGATTCCGGCTTCCCGCGAGCTTTTTTACCGGCAGCATTAGTTTTCCTAATGTTGCTTGGCCACCCACAGCGCGATTGTCTCGAACGTTGGGGGTTAAAACGTGGGTGCACACTTAAAGTCACAGTCGGAACAGAGCTGGGTATCCGCGCTATTTTTCGCTGTCTTCCACGTCCATCACGCAATTCTTCCGGCAATGATCTCGGCTTTGAGACACTTCTGATTCCTCCATTTGAAACACATTGCTTATTCCCCCTTTGTGGGTGTTATTTTTCTTTGTTGTGCCATCTGGCTGCTCGCTCGCTGCAAGATTCGCTTAAGCTAGTATCCTTGTTTCTGTTGAAATGCGGTTTTGTGGTATTCAGTTGTATATGTCAGACATTTTGCTATGGAATGTGTTGCGGTCTTCGCACTGGCGGAATGAACGGTGGGGATGTTGCCTCGCGTTGCGTTGTGGGCATGTAGCGCTGTTATCACAGGTGGACGTAGACGGAAGGAGGACGAGCTCTCGGTTCCCGCAGACGCATTGGAACCAAATCATTCAAAGAAGGAATTTCTCGGTTCTAGCGCCTCAACTCAGTATAGGCACATGTATTACGTCAATGTACTTAAAGCTGTAGCGGGTGGAAGTGGTCTTTTGACCATTTGCAGGATGGTCGGAGGGCCTTTAAAAGGCTGTGAACGTCAGATTGGCATTTCGCACTAAAATAGTCACGGAGTTGACGAATTTGGAGCAGGAGAGAAAGTTACTTTTTCTACGTAGGCAGTAGAAGGTGCACAACCCCCGTATACTGGCCGCATACATGGAAGCTAATGGGCTGGAGGTGGGGAACAAGGGGAAAGTGATGCTGCAGTGAATGCGCCAGCGGAACGAAAGCAATAGATAGCTGACGGAAATACAGAGGTGCAGTCAACACAGGAGTGGAGCAGTCTGTTTGACTAGATTGGAATTGCACACTGGTATCACCGCCCTCAGTCAGGGTAGTACCGACAACAGGATGGTGGGGAGTTAGCGGCAACCGGTCCAAAAAAACATTTTCTCACCAGCGGGGCTCCCAGAGGCTGTATGCACAGGGTAGGGCCTAACAAGTGACGAGGCAGCGGCGATTCGCGGCCAGAGTAAATAAATGCTTCGTTGATTGAATTTGATTGGGATCCTACTTAGTTGATGGGGTAGTAGCTGCCGTTGGCCTTGCAGGGAGTGCCCGGTTGATAGACCCTATTATGGAGTGTTTGGCAGACAACAGCATTGTAAACAGAGCATCCACGCTGCTCCGCACATTTCCTGCTTCGTCTAGGAGCGCCTTGAGCGATATTTTCTTGCCAGCTGACTCCAGCATCACGGTTTCTGAGAAGGAAGGGCTTGGAGGTGTTAGCTGGATTATTTGGTTTAACAGAGCAACAACCCCATGTAAATAGTCCATTACTTTTACGAGTTTCTCCATCGCGTTATACTGAGCCACAGGAACAAACATCTACGGGAGGCGATGTTTATGAAATAATAGGAGTAGGAGACGACCAACCAAATAAAGCGTCGAAATGTTTCCATGTCAAACACTAAGCAAGAGGAGGTGCACCAACGAGAACAGTCTAGGGAAGGGTCGTTGCATGAGTTAAGTTCACTTACACTTTCGTCAGTGGCCTTCTTCATAGAAGCCATTATGAATTTCGATTGTTCTTGGGGGCTGGTTAACAGACTTTCAGACTTTGTGGGCTCCTCCTTCTTCCGTTCCTTTTTCCTGTCTTCGTCTTCTTCGTCTTCGTGTTGCTCTCCTTTAGGGCTTGCGGGAGCAGCGGACTCCCTTTTATGCTCTGCCGCCTCCTCTTTATGTTCAGCTTTTTCCTCGTCCTCTTTATCGGGTTTGCCCTTGCTTGCATTATCATGCTCTCCGTGGTGGCCGTGGGACTCTTTTCCTTCGTGGCCACTGGCTTTATCACCCTTCTTCTTCTCGGCTTTGCTCTTTTCTTTACCGCCTTGCTTATCGTCTTCGTCATCACTGTCGTCATCACTGTCGTCGTCTCCAGACGACTGTACAAAGGATGCCTCACGAGTGCCGTCAAAGGCAAACAGTGCAGGGTGCAGCTGCAACTGCCGCTCGTCTGTGTCATACAACGAAAAAGATGCTTGCGGAGCAGCAGCCTCATCTTTGCTCCTCATGCCTATGGCCTGGCCGACATCAAAGTTGTTCCTTCGCCCCACCATGAACGCTTGCGTTTCTCCCCCGCTGAGTACCAGCACGGCTGCGCACATGGATAGCGCGTTCACCGGTCGATAGCTCTGCATCTTGAACAGCATATGCTCAAAGAGGACAAGGCTACACGGTTGGAGAGGTTGTCCAGCTGCTTCTAGAATTTTGAATATGCAAAAGGCAGAGATATTGTTATGTCGCGGTTGGAAACGTTTCCGGTTTCCCAAGAGGGCCTGAAATAAATCGGCGCTGAAGAAAAACGTCGTACCACAATTTCGGCGACTGCCACGTGAACCCGAAATTAAGAAAGGCGACAAACTGTACTAACTAAGAGAGGCTTAAAACAACTTCAAGGCGTTCACAGTCATGCAGTCACCTGGACCTTGAGCTCTGTCGGCAGTGAGCCACTGGCGTCTGAAGTGGGGCTCGTGGTAAGAGGCCCGTCAGATTTTCCACAATCTGTGTTTGATATAAGGCGGACTTTGAATTACTCTGCCTCACATTTAAGTCTTTCAATATTCAGCCAAAGTATTCTTCGCAATTCAGCCGCAACAGCTACCACACTGCTGAAACTGACCGGCGCTGAGGCCACCGCCGGCGGCTGCAGATCGACCTTGTGACGGTATTCTGCAAGTGTGGTTCGCGTTAGGAAAGAAATACGTTCTCAATAGAGACAAAGTAGTGGAGAATTCTTTTGTGGTGCTCGTCGTTACTATGCAGCTCAAACGCAATGACATTTCGTGAATCGCTTCCACAACTGCCTGGCGCACTGCGCTGGACAAAAGCGAGGACCATGGGCTCCAAGTGACTAGATCACACATACTGTACAATCTGCCATATCCATACCCGATGTATTTAACGATTTTCGAAGAACTTCATGTAAGGGAGCTTCTTTGGAGTTGAGATAGGCCTGTTTGTCTCTCACATCTGTATAGCCGCCAGAATCGTCACTGGGGCTCGCAGACTCTTCAGCCTTGCGTTACCATCTACGCCATTGCTCCATAATCGACTACTCTTGGATGAGTTCAACAACATATAGGCTGTTTAATCCAACTCTTTATATGTACTACTGACGGCATCACACGCCTGTGTCCTCCCAGGGTCTGCCGCGTAGACAGGTGAACAGGCTGCCCTGCTTAGAAGCAAACTGGGCTCCTGGAAACACCTAGACAAGCGCCAGGACAAGCTCCTTCACCATGTTGAGCAACTAGTGAAATTATGCATGCCTACACGTGCGAATAAAACGAAACAGCAACCCAGCAGGCAGTAATGAACCCCCGTTGCGCTCAGCGTGTAGCGAACACCTCACTGGAAACACCGCGCAGAGGTAAAAATCAATTCGATCGTAACGATCATTGCACTAATACAAGCATGACCCCTCTGCAGCTAAAGTTCCTCAAAGTGAGGCGGCTCATGCTACAGGCTACATCTATTACTACGGCTAGCTAGTGGGGTGCTATGCAGCCGCCCGCTCCATCCAAAATTGAGTTCTTTATAACGAGTATGGCTTATTTACACAGTAGGATCACAAATTCCCCGCTGTGCCATTGAGGATCACCAACGACCCTTCATGGTTTGAACCTATCATAATTCACAACTCTGTGAAAAAGGCGAAATTATAGCCGTACACGCAAGCATCCGCTGTTCCGGCCCGGGATTTTTCCGAAAAGAGTGTAAAAACACGAGAAGACGCAAATCCTACAAGGCACTGCGGCCCATTGCGAATAAATTTTCCTGGCTAAATGCAGGCTAATTGCAGGGCTAACGCCACGCGGCTCACTTGCTAGAGCTCACGCAAATTCGTATGCATAACAACTCCCACTATTGCTCTTGGTCTCGTTAAATCCAGCAGCTGGAATTCCAGAGATCACCAGTCTCAACTCTTGTAACTCCTGCTCCGTTCATTAGATCCATCTGATGTTTTGCCAAACGTGTCACGCATCGTGGCCAGATGACGTAATATGTAACTCCCACAATGGGCTGAGTAGAGTGCAAGGACGCAGTTTCACGGAGAAGCGGCATGTTAATCCATGACTTCGTTAAGCTGCGTAGGGGAGCCAAAAGACTATGAGAGCCTCCTCATGTAGATGCAGCATGGATTGCTGCGTGACGGTTTGCGCAAAAAAAAGACAAGAAACCGATGAAAACGGAGATAAGCAAGGCGTCGAAGAAACAACGTCAGATTACTCTCCTCCATGCATATCTTCGTTTCCACATGAAGCCATCCCATCCATACCCAATCAGCATGTTCAATGGGCTAGCTCTCTGCCTCTCTCTGAACCCAGTTTGGGCCGACAAGACTTTCGCTGTTAAACAGAGTCTGACGGTTCCTCTTGCCCACGCGAACGCAGGTCAGGGGGCCCAACGGTGGGAGGTCGCCCAAGAGGGGTAAGCTCGTCCTGCGGAAGGTTGTAAGGACGCTCTCGAGTACCCTCAGCTGAGGACAACGTAGTGGTGTCCCCCCAATCTAGGCGGTTCCGGTTATGCGGAGCAGGCGGAAGAACACGATGTTCAGGAACTGTATCTATAGAGCCGGCGAAAGGCTGTGGTGGCATTTGCGGGGACACCACAGGAGGCTGCTCGTCTCTGGTGGGAAGGCCATTAGAAAGGGCAGCTTGGACCGGCGGGTGAGGCTGTCGAACTAACTGCTCCCAAGATGGGATTAGATGCCGCCTTCCCTGAGACCAAAACCCCTGTGGTGGAATGGTTGGCGCAAATGGACTGCGCATGAAGGGCTTAGTGACAGAACGAATGGGGGGAGACCAGCTGGGGGCTTGGAAATCTGGCTGCTGGCCACCTTGATGTCGTCCCGGTAATTCGCGAGAAGCTGTCCATGTGGGTTTCTGCACAGAGGAAGGAGGCGTTGCATGCCGTTGATATGGTGTGCTGAACTGGTGCTGAGAGGCTGTAGCCCCCCTCTTGCAGTTCGGTTGTGACAACATCTGGGCATCAACCGCTCTACCAGAGCTATGCCCTGCATGTGAGGCACCTCGACAGCGGACTCCAGTAGCTCCATCCGCAGCAGTTCGCTTGCGCTGTGCACCAGGCAACAACTGGCCTCCAGCCTTTTCTACGGCGACATCGAGTCTATTTAGTAATACCTTGTATTCGGGGAGTGGCTCAGTGCCTTTCACTACCTCCTCCTTGGGAATGAGCAGCCACACTCCTGTCCTTTCCTGGCTGGCTAAGGCAAAATGCCGATGTACTCTGTCCCGGATGAGATGGTACCTGTGCTCCTCCCACAGAGCCGTCAAAATCCTAATTTCGTCATCCACAGCTCTCCGAAGCACCTCTTCAGAAGACTTCTCCGCATGCTCTTGTATCCTCGAAAGGCTTTTGGTGCAGTATTTGCCCACGATCCTCATTGTTGTTAGAAGTGTCAACGTCCTGAATTTGCGCTTGCGTGTTTTCACTGTTTCGGTACAGGGCCTTGGAAGCTTGATGTTTAGGACCAGGCGTTCCATCGCACTAATGTTTGTACGAACTGCTTCTGCCTGTGGACTCTCAACCCTGATAGGGAGGACTGTCCAAATAAGATCTAAAAGAGATTCACCCGCTTGATAACGCAAAGGCTCGAGGTCTCGTGGAACAAGCGAGAGAGCAGCCAAATCGAACGTAATTATTCTTAGCACTATGAAAGCCAAATTAAAGGCCTGATCGGCCTGGAGGGCAGATAACAATTTGGTGCATAAGGACGCGTTCGTTTGCATCCACTTGAGCACGTTCGTTGCCTGCGTTTTCGCTGATTCCGGCATCTCCCGTCCTTCCCATTGACGCAAATCATCATAAAGAGACCCCTCTTCAGCTAGTCTTGCAACGGGTGCACCTAGAAGCAAAGTGACTAGATGGCGACGCGTCTGTGAAACCTCACCCGCCGCTTTAGAGTATGTATCTTCACGGGGCTTTCGCTGCGGAAGCCTCAAGTTCTTTGGCAAAGAGGCACTTCCGGCACCTTGGGCTTCTGGAAAAAGACGAATATTCTGCCGGTGTGGAATAGTAGGGAATCTCGTAGGAGCCGCCTGTGGATCCCATGGCCCGAGTGCTCGCGTGCCCCCCCCACTGCCTCGCACAGCACCTGGCAGAACACGCCAAGGTCCGGCAGAATCTTCGCCATTCACCTCTTCGTTTTCATTATGTGGAGATTTGCTTGCAGCCGAGATGCAAGCCTGATCCTCCTGACCTGCTAGTGCTCTGGGAGGCGCGCCCGCTCTCGGGTTGGAGGGGAGGCGGTGCAAACAGCGCAGCAGCCAATAAGTCAATGCCAACATGACAACAGGAATAACCAACATGCGAGGAGAAAAAACCCATGAGCGCCTCTTATTGCTTGGCTGCTGCAGTGTGAGGGGTCCGCCATATTTGACAAAGTGCGTAGGTGAAGGAAGCCTTGACTGAGTTTCATGATGATCCAGGTGGCCTCTGGGAGGGTTTGCCTCCGTCTCGCGAGAAAAAGCTGGTGCCAATTCCATCTTTCCCCGGATGGAAGCCTCTAAGTCGTTGAACTCTCCATTACGCACCACTTGGTGCAAGGCAGACGAGCAATGCCCACCAGCAAGACGTCTTCCTCTGCGGAATGTGATAGACGGCCATGTCATACCAATCAGGCAGGGGAAAAATCTGGTACTTAACCAAATTAAGGGGGAAATATGGTGTGCAAACTACTACAGTGTTAGTTTCATCAGACTTCCCTGGAGATACGTAGTTCATGCACGTCGATCGAGTGCAGGATATGCAATCGGGGTGGGAATCGACCGTCTAGCTCCGCGAAGGCCAATATGACCGCAGTTAAAGTTGAAATTAAACTCCAAAATAAGCTAAGATTAAGTGGCAAGGATATAAAATGAGGTAATATCCGTATGGTATGGCGAGCCGCTCTGCTTGTTTACGATGAAATTAAAGAAACGCCTACAGCCCTTTAGCCGCAAAGCCTCGGAAATCTCATTTCCATACAACTTTATGGTACATGTTAAATAAAGGAAATGCACGACATCTTAGGGGCTGCTGTGGGAAAAGCCAGTCACAACTTGAGCTGTGTTGTCGTGCTCTCTGGCAGCAAGGCAAGCTCGGGTTTCAAATGTGACGAATCTTCATTGTGGGATTTAAACTAAGTGCATGTGGAGTTGTTAAATTGTCTCCAGTTTTAACGGGATATTTACATTCACTTTGAATTTAACAAGAATCAGTACCTTTGTGAGTCAGTATTTCCGCTCGTGGTTCCCCGCCTGCTGGCGTGCAATTGAAAACGCTCCATCCACCTTGTGGGCAGTGGACAAGATACTGTCTGCCAGTTCATCCGCGAACCCATTGCTGCCGCAGGACCCATTTTGCCACCCCATAAGTGGCTACAGGGTTGTAAAGTTTTGTGACATGCAGGAAAAACGAAAAATGGAGATGGCCTTCCGAGAACCCTCAGTTACGGCACTCATCCACTCGGAGTGTAGGTTGCCGTGCTGTTTTCTGTCATTTGCTAAAATGGCTTGCCTGCAATGAGTTAATAAGCGGAACTTCTGATACACTCATAAATTATTTCACCCGACTCCGCTTAAAGGGCAAGACGGGCAGAATCATGATACCCAACATGCAACCTAGTGGGTGCCATGCGGGCACAGCACACACACACAATCCTGTGTGGGGCATGAACCCCTACCCGACCCTACTGGACAAACGGTTGGCAAACAGGTTCTCAAAGACAACCAAAAATGTCTGTACATACCGCCATGAAGGCCCGTTTGCTTGTGTAGGTGGGTGGACGTTGAATTCCAACAAGTTGCGTTGCAACCCACGGCAGGCCGCCTCGTCTCCCACAGCTCTAGCGATGTGAGCCGCCGAGTTCATGACGCCTGGAGAATAAGGAAGGAGGCCAGTTGCACTTAAGGAACTTTCATCTTCAGTATTTTGGCTCCACTGCAAATCAGAATACTCCTCGGATAAAATACAGAACCCGCGTTACACTGGGCAGCAAGCCATGGTTTGCGGTGTGCATGCGCTAACGACGAACCCCACG